AGTGGCTTCGTTGTCCCTTTAGTGGCTCCGTTGGTCCTTTAGTGGCTCCGTTGTCCCTTTAGTGGCTCTGTCATTGTCGTCAGATGACCATAGCTGAAGCGAGAAACCCCGCAAAAAAAATCGGTAGATATTTCTGAAATATACATGTATCAAAAAAACATCTTTTATCACGTGACCACTATATATGTATATATCTTTATATTTACCAGACTTCCGGTCTATCCCGATTGGTGGGATGTGAGCTGAGGGTGCTGAAGGGCCTGGATCCCTGGGTGATGAATATGGTTTTATGTTTTATTGTAGCAGGCGCTACCGAGATCACCAGTAACACGGCTACTGCCTCCCTCCTCATGCCCATCATGTTTGAACTGGTATGTAAAAATATTCACATGGTATTTAGTATGTAAGACAGAATATTTAGTTTCAAAAATCTTATTTGGTTCGGCTCGGTCCCAGAGAAATATACATGGGCAACACATTCAGTGCATGTCTGCATTTTCTTATTTTATTGATAGATGTAGCACCATTAGACGTCAAAACGTGTGCTTTATATTCATAGCTGATATGAATGCCATTTTAATTTACCGGCAAAATAATTCTAATAATTCATTGAAAATGTGTACATTACAAAAATATGGATACATGAAATTCAGACGATACTTGTATTGCAAATTAAGGATTGGTTCTGAAGTTAACTTCACTTTGCGTCTCAACGCTTCGTAACTTATCTTGATTCAGCAAAGACAGATAATAAAATGATATACAAAAGCAGGTCAGTATGATACATTTGACAAAGCATGCAACTAAGGCATCATTCGTAATAAAGTTGGCCAAGCCTGTTTACGTAAGTTACAAATTTATACGAAAACCATCCAACTCCGTTTGATTAAACAGAAAATCAGTTGCAACTTACGCAATCTGCCGAGCGGTATTTAATTTGCTAGTGACGTTATATAGTTATCAGGTCATGATTTGGAAAAAAACACCAAATAAATGAACTGGAATTTAAAAGTTTTAAAGTATATGACGTGAAGTCCATGGAAGGTTTCTTTGTTAGTTTGAGTGGTTTTGCGTCAGTCCGCTCCACTACCGAGTTGTTCAGCTATCTAGCAGACGATCCAGGAAAGAAGCGTTTTAAAATATGTATACGTTAGTAAAGATTTCTCCACATAAGTAATCGAGTAAGTTAACAAACGAACGAGCAATTATAAAACAAAACAAAACGAAATGCTTAAACAACATATCTTTTATGACGTAGTCAAAAAAATGAAACGATTTTTATGTTTTTCCTCTAACACATTGGTAACGAAGTTACAGAAACAAAGTAAACATAAAATATACGTTGTTTACTTTTATTTTTCGCAATAAAATATTGATTCTTAGGTCATGTTTTCCTATTTCAGGCAATAACTGTGGGGATACACCCTCTGTATTTGATGATGTCGGCCTGTATTGCATGTTCCTTTGCATTCATGCTTCCGGTCGCAACGCCTCCAAACGCTATTGTGTTCTCAACAGGAACCGTGAGAATACCGGATATGGTAAGGGGAAATAACTATATAGGGAAATATAATGAGTAAATCCCGGATGATGAAAAAAAAGAATAAACCTAGAAGCATTTGATTCTTAAAGTTGTTTGAATGCAGTAATTATTGAATTGAGTGATTATAACAAAATATATATTTTTCAAAAGTAGTTTACGTATCTTGGTGAATTGCAAATCCTCCCGAAATAAAATCAGAAAATATGAGTTTCGAAGTTAACGATCAGAAATAAACGTATTGCGTACAATATAAATCAGATCATATTATTGTTCGATCAGCTACTTTCAAGTTATTGCTACTAATGTTTCTACATGTTTACAGTATTTGCTTATTCTCACGTTAACATACCAATGTTTACTCTGTCAATGTTAGTATTTTGCTAATAATGTTCATATTTACAGTAATACTGTTTACAGATTTCAAGCTAACAATGCTACTGTTGACAACGTTAATATTGACACAATATGCATAATACCTATTCCATGTTTACGATATTCCTTTGTTAACATTGCTCACAATTACTACATTCAAGACAAATACAGTGGTTTCAAACAATGTTGTAACAAACGAATGTTTATTTTAGAATCAGATGTGTTCATTTGCCAATAAACATACATAAAATACATCAGAAAATTGGTTTATTTTAACCAGATCAATATGTAAATACAATGTTGTAATATAGAGATCATTATCTGTTATAGGCATTGACGGGCATCGTTCTGAACATTTTAGCAGTAGGAGTGTTGACGCTCGCCATCAACACATGGGGCACGGCTATATTCAAGCTGGACACTTTCCCGGAGATATTCTTAAATTCAACCAAAGCGTCGACGTGTCCTGGCACAGCAGCAATCTCTGTTATAGATACGACCGTGTCCTTGCTTAACTCGACTTTGCCTAGTACAGCGCCATAGAAAAACAGACTTAAGAAAGGTCGATAAAGAAATGTGAATTGCATCTATGAGACTATCAGTCTTGATAAGCACACCAAGGTTTTTTTCATATTGTTGTGTACAGCCGTCCAAATTTTTACATTTCTCCTTAGCATGTGATATGGATATCTAAAACCCGGTCGAATCGGGAGAGAAAGAACATTTCGAAAAAGACGAGTAAACACCTTGTACTTCACAAAGGCGTTATCATTTTAGTCGACCGAAAAACACCATGCCATTGTATTAATCCTAAAGATATGTGTTCTCATCGAGAACGTATCAGATTCAATGTTTGTTAATATTTAGTTTCAATGATAATGATGGTCAAACATGTGGATGTAAAATCGAACAAAGTTGTGTCGCTAGAGTTGATTGGTTGTCTGTACACTGTAGTGACGTCATAACTTTTTTGTAATGTTCACAATCATTACGGCTGGTCATTAATTTGCACTGGAAATATGGATACTTCGGTTCACGAAAAAAAAAGCCGGTATTTTTTTCCCCCGGAACATAGAACCTCATTCCATTTTTGTTATGTTTTATTGGTATTGACTTAGGAAAATAGATGAAGTCTGGTGGATGTGTTGATTTTTGACGATTAATATTTTTTAATTGAATAAAGCTACACAATAGGAGTAGAATGGTCTCGAAGTTTAATACCTGTTTACATGTACATGGCATTGTTCAAGGGAAAGTAATCATATTTAAGACAAACGTCTTTGTTCCAGACATAATGACGGTGCTGAAAACAGATTGACGGTGTTCTAAGCAAAGACTATGTGTGTTCCAAACATACATGTATGTTGCTCAAGACAAATTGACGTTTTCAAACGAAGTGACGACCATGTTCAAGAAAATGCGTATGGTCTAGTCGGACAAAGATAATGTGCTCATGATAGTGCTCATGAAAATTGAACGTTTCAGACGAAGAGACCGATTATGATCAAGACAATTTCTGTAGTCCAGACCGACAAAAAGTTCAAGGCAAGTCTCAAGACAAATTGACGTTTTCAAACGAAGTGACGAAAATGTGTTCAGGACAGAATAACCGTATTCACGACAAAATGACAGTGCTCAATTCAAAGTTACCGGGTTCAAGAAAGACATCTGTGTTTAGGACAAAGTGTCTTTGATCAGGACAAAGAGTGTAAAAGACAAAGTAACCGTGCCAAAGACAATGTTTGTAACAAAGTGACAAACGTTATCATGACAAAATGCCTACGTTCTGGACAAAGTAATTGTGGTCAAGCAAATGTGACTGCTTTAAGACAGAAAAACTTATTTTGTTCAGGACAAATCAACAGTGTTCAAGAGCAAGTGAATGGTCAAAAGAATGCATCTGTGTTCAAAGACAGTCTATCAGTGTTTTCGACAAAGTTACCGTGCTCAAGCCAAAGTTTCTATGTTTAAGATTCAATAAAAAATCAAAACAAAACGTACGTTTCCATGACGAACATAATGTAATTTGAACAAAGTGATTGTTTTGCAGACAAATGGACTATGTTCAAGACAATTTGATTGCGCTCAAGATAAAGTTGTATTGTTCCTTTTTGTTTTGCAAACGTCATGCTGAATTTTTGTGATGTTAGCATGTTAGCATTGCAAATCTTATTACATTACATAGTGTAAATTTTAAATTTGATAAATATATATGAAAAATATTTTTGTTTTTAAGACCAAGATTTAAATATGACAGCAGAAATATTTGTGTTACATTGTATGTGTTGAATTGGTTGATCTATTTAACACAGCTTTGTATATAATTTTTCACTGCTATTACTTTTGTCTGTTCTTTTAAAAAAATGTTATGAATCTGGTTTTTAAATGATTATATATACTAAATTCAAAAAATTATGATTGCTGTCTAATTTGTTTGAATAAGTACTTTGAATATGTGTCAAAAAAAAAAAAATTATGAGAAAAGATATTGTTGAACAATTCTATGTAAAAAAACCTGTACATATCTGTC